CAGTTGCCCTTTGTCAGGGCAATTCAGAAGTTGTTCCCCCCTGTGTGCCCAAACAAATTGGGGAAGAGATGGTGACCCAGCTCAGACTCAACAAAGCAACACTCCATGGAACAGATTGCATCAGACTAAAGAGTGGCACAGCTTACACAATCAGGGTCTAAATCCAAAGCCCATTGAAGTCAATAGAAGGACCCCAATTTACATCGGTTCGCACTGGACCAGACGCTCACTGTTTATGCTGGGAAGCTCTGTGTTGCTTTGTACCCGAGGTTGTTCCTTAAAAGTATAACCTAGCTTTTCTCTCTTGTTGTTGGGTTTTTTTTCAGGCTAAATTGCAGGTGGGGATTTCTGGTTTTAAGGATAAAATAAAAAAAAAAATGCCGTCAACGTAAACAAAAGGCAGAGAGAATAGGTATTCTACAAGTGTATGTCAGGGTGGATCCCATGGCAGTTGCAGATGCACCTCGTGTGTCCCAGACTGTACCTTTTGAATAGCATTGTCCATTGGGGCTGCACCTTGTGCTGCCTTGTACACCTGTGTGAGGGCACAAATCCAGAAAGGGTAGAGAAGTTGTGACCTTCCCTCTTGCTGTTTGAGACAGAAAGTAGTGAGCGTTCAACCCACTACTTGCTTAGAGATTTTAACTTTTTTCTTTCCCCCAGCTAGTCTGTGAAGAAAACTTACCTTAAAACTCCCATTTTCCTTGACTTAGATGTTCTGGGGGGAAAAGAGAGAGAAAACTGTTCATGACATATACTTTCCCCGCACGCCTGTACAGCAGGGTGAAGCACTTCGCACCAACCATAATGCTTCATGGTGGAGTCTGAAATGTCATGGTTCAAACCACATTGGTCTTGTGATTGACTAATTTCTATCAAAGATGGACATATTTGTTGCCTCTTCAGCTGAGGGGAGATCCACATGCCTGACAGGTGCTCTGCATACAAATCCTTCTCTTCAGTTACCCACAAATCCAGTGCTGCTGGGTTCAAGTTACATCTGCTAGAGAAATGGGTCACTTTGGAACCAAAGGTGATGGTCGCTACCAGAACGAGACCAAAAAAACCATCATTGGCCAGTGCAGTCTCAAACACACACCATACCCTCGGCTCAGGGAGTGTGTGTGTGGTGGGGGTAGGATGGGGAGGGAGAGGAAGGAGAAGGTGATGCTGGTGCTGACAGAGTCGGCAGTGGAGATTTCTGTGTTGACAATCTCAATGTCCATGAAACCCTCAACACCAACAGCCTTGGTGCTGGCATCTCGGGCAATAAAGTCAGCACCTCTGCAGAAGGTCAGAACCAAAACACAGAGCCAAATGGAGCAAAACTCCGAATCGAGATACATCTGCATTTATCTGCGTCTCCTGAGATATGTTCTCCATGTTGAAGGAATGACTGGCACAGGAGCCAGGTGGCCGTGCAAAAGATTCTGATCTTGTATGCACGAGGCACATACGTACTTACAATGAGATCCATACTGACTACAACATGTTGAAGAACTACAGTTTTTGTAGGTTCTTTTTATAAAATATGAAGCACATAAAGTGTCGCTCTTTGCAGGAAGAAGAACAGAAGTACTCCTGTTCTTCTTTTTGCGGATACAGACTAACACGGCTGCTGCTCTTTGCAGGGTCTCTCTCAATATATTAACACTCTTTGACCATCTTTCTCTTTCTGGGGCCAGGACTTCACTAAAAAGTTAAGTTGAAAAATCCACACACCTGAGCAACATAGTTAAACGTACCTAACCTCTGCCACATGTACACAGCACTAGGTTTATGGAAGAATTATTCTGTCAACCTAGCTACCACCTCTCAGGGAGATGTATTAACTATAGCAACAGGAGAAACCTTCCCATGGCTGTAGTGAGTGGCTACGCTGAAGTACTACAGTGGTGCAGCTGCAGCTGTGCTACCGTGGCCATTTAAGTGTAGAGAGCCTGAGTTTTCTATCCACCCTTGTACTCTGATGTTCAGAAGAAGGAAACTGAGGTGGCTGAGGAACAGTACAGTATTATATAACCACCACCAGGTATGCCAGTGGGCTCCCCAATGGGCACCATGTACTGCAAGGTTATGTTAATTTATTAAGGTTTGCAGAATTGGGCCTTCTAAATACTGTTGTTTAGGATATTCTATTTCAGCTTGTCTACTTAAACTGTAAAATATACAAGTAGGCAATTGCACTTGAGAAAAAGGTGTCCAAATTATGCAGAGAACTTCCTAAATCTGAACTTTCTGCTAAATTAGTACTTCGCATGGAGACACTGTAAGTATTGGCCAAAAGGCTGCACGTTTCTAAGTATCTGGGCCATCTTATTATAGTAGTGTAGTGAAGTGTAACACTGAGTTGGCAGTATGGGCAGACTCCATCTCGTAACAATTTTGACAAGGAATATTCAATTACTTTAATACATGTGATGAGAAGGAAAATGTGTGCTTACCAATGAATGTTGCTGTTTTGACAATAGGTTTACCTGTCTTAAGGTTTGCTTCCCCCCTGTGCTGTGTTAATGGGTTTTAAAAAAGCAGTTCAAAAGCAGTGTTGCTGCCAACCTTATTTTTTTTAAATATTATAGTAGTTTGATACGAGATACCTTGTGTCCCTGACCAGTTTTATTTGCGGGCCCCTGTCTTAAGAATGTTTTGTTTGTAACCTGTGACATTCATAAATTGGTGTTCTACTGTGTCTTTTTATTAATCAGTTGAATTGCAGAGATTCTGTAGTAAAAAATTTAATGTGCTGCACTTATAGGATTTAAAGACTTCTAAATGAATCTTCTAATTTAAAAGTAAAGATCTGTTTTCCTAATAGTTTTATATTTTTGTACACTTAAAATCTAAGGAAATCAATCAAATGACAATAACCAGATGGTTTTAATTAAATACTTATTACTGCCATGTTAAAAAGCAGAAATAATTTTCTGTTTTCTTTTTGTGTCGTCTTTGTGACCATTTTCTCAGCTAAAACATCTAGTTTTTTCTTTAAAAATCATTTTATTCAGTAAAAGTTTTTCTTCCAGTACAGGATCTATATTAAATAACAAATGCTTGATTTTAAAAGAAATTCAAGTATGACTTTAATTTGCAAAAGTAAATAAATTCTTTACTGAGAGTGAAACTGCATCCTTAGCTCAATGTGTTGTGCTTAGGTACTTCAGCAAATAATATTTGTTATTGGTCCTATAACAATTTAATTCCAACACTGCCTGTGTATCAAAGCATCTTTGTACACAAGTGTTATTGACTGGCTATGTCGAAAGAAGGACAGCAGACATTTGATGTGGGTTTAATCAGGCCACAACTTTATTATTAGATATCTGGGACTACCCGGCAGATAACCGTGTACAGTGCAGGTAATCCCGTGTTTATTCCAAAATTACCAGGGGGGCTTTTACCTGCTCCCCCTTTTTTTTCCATCCAGGTCCCTCCAGCAAATCTGTGGCCGGGACCTTACCATATCCGGGGTGAGGGGTTTGCACCAGCTCCCCCTCTTTTCCCCTCCAGGTCCCTCCAACAAATCCATTGCTGGGATCTTACCATCCACCCCCCGTAGGAGAGTTAAGGTGGACTATAAGAATGGGGGGTTGGCTCCCTGCCGTACCAATCATAGGAATCCTCACCCACCCTCTGTTCGTTCCTTTAATGAACACCTCTTTTTAAGTCCTTGTCCAAGCCATTTATCCGATCACTATATACTTTTCCTATGGACTACCTGCACTTAACATCTGCCCTACACTTAAATAATGAGTTGCTTCAGCCTTGGTCCACGTAAAAAGGAAGGCTCAAGGCATCGTGCTGCCCCTTTTCAAAGCCTGCATTCCCCAGGGATGCCCCTTTTTGTAGCAGTTTTCGTCTCTTCCCCTTCCCTCCCCCCCCAGCCATAAAGCACTGTTCCCTTCACTCCTGGGGGAAGCTCTTCACACTTCATTTTTAAAGCATATTTTCACAAATACACCCTTATATCCGAGTAAGTTGCCCAGGATTTTGCTTAATCATTATGTAAGGAGATGTGAAACTTTATTATTGCCTAATCAAAGAGCCAGTATGGTCTAGTGGACCAAACATAGGGCTGGGAACAAGGTATTGCAGAGTTCTAGTTTTGACATGAACTCGTGTTATCCTTGGGCAAATTACTTACCCTTTCTGTGTCTTGTTTGTACCATGGCCAGTCAGCCAAACATCCCCCTGCTTAAAGGTGCAGGGCGGTCATTAAGGATGTTGACACAACTGTTGAAATAGTGTCAGAGCTAACCAGCAAAGAACAGTACACATTTTCTAGAACATATAAAGATAGTAGCTATTATTTTTCATTAATTCCTCAGCAATGGGATATTACATTAAAAATAAATAAATAAGTGTAAGTATTGAGCCTGCAGCGGCTGGGAGTTGTGGAGGCCCCTGTTGGCTGACAGCTCCAGCCCCGCTGTCCCAGGGCTGCAGCATAAAATCTCACCGAGGTCTCTGGAAGTCACTGATTCCATGTCCTCCGTGACATAATCTTAGCTTTATTTATAACTGGTCTTTTTTTTCAATGTTCACATACACGTAATTGCATTAGCTGTGATCATTTATTGTAACATAAACGAAACAGCTTTTATTTTCTTTGTCCCAAATATAATCTGAATGCATGTCTCATCTGTTCCTGTAACACCTTCATTGTAAGAATTGACAGTACAATGCACAGTATAGTTTAGCCACTGTTGTCCTTTAATGATGATAAACGTACTCCTGTTTCTCAACTGCCCTGTGCTGCTGCAGATTTCAATCCTAACATGGCAGGGGTGAATAATCTATAAACATTTATGATGTTTCTTCATGCTCCTCAGAGTTTTCATTTTGCAAATTATTATTGATTTAAAAAAATTGCCTTTTAATTTTTAGTTTAATAGCCAGAAGTTACTCATTAGAGTTGATTCTTGAAATTGTAGTATTTCTTTTTTTGTCTGTTATGCTTTGTTTCTTTCTAAGTATTTTTCATATTACTGTTTAATCAACAGGGATGCACTCAATCTTCTGCAGCAGAAACAGAAGAGCAAAGCTGCGGAATCGAGACCTATCGTTTCTCCAGCCCCTACTCAGCCTACTGTAGTGCCTTTGGCTCCACAAGCAACAACTGTGTCCTCTGTTTATCCGCGGCCTGCAGTTCCACCAATTTCTATACCGGGTCAGCCTGCAGCACAGGTAATACTTCTGTTAAAGCAGCAACTTGCATTCAGTTACAACAGGGGTTCCCTGTTCTAGCAGCTCCCATTGGCCGGGAATGGAGAACCGCAGCCACTGGTAGCTGTGAGCGGCCGTACCAGTGGGCGCTCAGGTAAACAAAGCGTCTTTCGGCCTGCCAGGGGCTTACCTTGAACAAGCTGCGAACCAAGTTTGGGAACTGCTGAGTTATAACTAAATAATGCCACATCTTTTCATTTTAATTAAAAAAAATAATAATAATGACAAATGTGCTGAACTTCATTTTAGTCAGTGTTATCTAGCGATTGGAAACAGGGGCCTGGGATTCAGAACTCATGAGTTTTATTCCCAACTCTGCAACTGACTTGCTGTGATCTTAGGCATGTCACTTAACTTCTCTGTCCTTATCTATACTCAGAAAAAGGTGCTTCCCCCCCACCCCCCGAATTAATTCAATTAAGCTACTTTAACTGGACTGAAAACCCGCACTTAACATCAGTGCAAACACAGTTTAACACATTTAGCATGACGTGGCTATATATCAACCTGCTAAAGACATTAAATTGATGCTAAGTGGGTGTTTAAGTTAGGTCAGTTGAGCTAAAGTGATCTTTTTGATCAAAGTTGATCTCCATTTTTACCTCAGTTGAGCTAACCCAATTGGGGGAACCTCCCTCCCTCCCCTGCCTTTCTCTCCCCCACCCCCACCCCCAGTGTACTTAAGGCCACAATGGCTAAGTTTTCCCCTACCTATACAATAAACATTACACGTATCTGATTATGTATAGCACTTTGAAATCTCTGAATAATAAGAAGCATGTGAGTGTGAATCTCTGAATAGTTGGGCCCGAAATATTGAAAGATCCATTATTTTGGGAGGAATTCCACCATGCTGGAATGCTTCGAGACAGGAACTGTGAAATTGGACCATTCTGGTTCTAGAACCAACTTTGAAGTACAGCTGCAGGTTCAGGGCTGGTATCCGTTGACAATTTATAAGAGTTATAGAGCATTTGGTATTCTATGATGAACCATACTAAATAATGTAGGTTGTTTTTTTGGTAAGGTTAAAAAAAATAATAAAATTCCAGGCCTACATATTTTTTTCTGTCATGTTAAAAAAGTGCTTTGCCTGCAGCTATATCAGAGCACACTGTGATTTGTATTCAACATACAGTGTATATGCTGTATAATTTCGGAGAGTATTTCTTGTGAGATCCACATGTTTTTCCTGCCTCGTATTTTCATTGGCATTACAAGTAATTGAGTGCAATATAATTCCCTTTCAACAAAAGGTTGTGAATGCTGAATTGTGACATGACTGAATGAATTGGGCAGGAGAAGCAGGTTGATGACAAAGGAGAGAGATGTACAGTGAAACCTGTCTTAAGCAACCACTGAAGGGATTGATAAATCGATAGCTCAACAGAGCTTCTACTAACAGTCTTCTACTAAAATAAAGGTGCATTAGAACTGTACTCTGCAGGCCCTAAACTGGTGTAATACCGCAATGCTGATTTCACCAGCTGAGAACCAGGGCTGATATTTTTGAAGTAATTTGCTAGATCAGTAGGTTTCATTGTACTCTGTAAACTGAAGTTATCTTGTTCCTTATCAGTGATAAGAAATATGGGCAGAATAATAGAAATCGGGTACACTTTTTTTCCCCCAAATGTATGACTGTGAATTTTCTTTAAAGAAGATTGTTACTTGTCAGTATTGTTTGTGTGGACCACCCATCTTGATTTCCTTTATCTGCTGAAGATAAAGTACTTGTATAACATGTTGTAGTACTCTGCCTAGAATCTCTGTGTTTTATCCAGATTTAAACCTGGCAGGCATGGTGCAATGGAGCAAATATTCAGATTTTTTTCAGTCTTCATTTTCTTACATTTCAGCTTTATGGAGTAAGATAAAACAAACACTGTACTGCATTAATTTCCTTGGTTCTGTATAACCTGTTTTGCTGGTCTGAATATGATTTTTCATTCTGCTATCTTTCAGCAAGAATAGAAAATTCAATTTATTTAAATTTAATTTTAGGCATGTTAAATACTAGCTACGTTTTAATGCTTTTTGAAAGTTGAGGTTTGTTATAAGTGAACAAAAGCTACCAGTTGAAAAGCATTACTGCCCTACTCTTGTTTCAGCAGAGGAGTGTGTGTGTTCTCTCCCTGTATTTAGTATGCAAAATATTTGCTTTCAGGGTACATTCACAGAAGTCCCTGCCAGCAACATCCGAAGAGTTATTGCTAAGAGATTAACAGAATCTAAAACTACTGTGCCTCATTCATATGCTACTACTGACTGTGACCTTGATGCTATCTTGAAACTAAGGAAAGAACTAGCAAAAGGTTGGTAAATGTTATTTATTATTCAAAATAAACTGGCAAAAGGTTGGTAAATGTTATTTATTATTCAAAATAAACTGATCTAACTGGACTACCTTGACCTGCTATACAATTAGTTACACCCACGCTCTCTGTACAGAGTGACTAGTCTTCTATATTGAGTTTCAATACTGGGCATTCAAATAAACTATTTTCTTTGTGCTACGACAATTTGTTTTTCTTAAAGAATTTTGTTTTCATTAAGATGCTTCCTGTTTCACTGTCCTGTCTTAAGCAACCACTTTGTGTCCGTTTCTTGGGAGGCTGGTGATGATTGCTATGTGATTTTTCATGTACGTCTACAAATCTAAAATCAAGTAAAAGTTATTGTGGTGTGGGTTTTATTTTAAATTTGATTTCATTCAGCATGTTGTTTTTAAAAGCCCCTTCCTAGGGAAATAAACATACTAGTCAAGGTGTTCTAATGCAACTTGTGATTTTGGGTACCTTAATTTTTGGAAGCCCAATATTACTGTAAAAGGGCCTGATTTTCAGAAAATGTTGAATACCCTTCCTGTGAAGACCATGCGCAGTTCTAATTTCTCAGGTTAGCATCTGAATTCACTAATCATTCTGGAAAAACATTTGCCACTCTGTTCATAGGAGAGTCACTTCATACAATATTTCTTTTTTTCATAAATTCATGGCCTATCTTCCAGAATTTAGAATGCAGCCTAAAAACGACAAAATGCTTTGGCACAGATAGTGGTATAATGTTCAATCCTTAATTCTACTTTAGGGTTCATCTGCTGTATTACACTTATCAAAACTGTCTGTTATTACAGAGTCTTTTTTTTTCTCACTGCATTGACAGACAAGCAAAAAATTACCATTTGCTGCTTCATCCTGTAGATCAGACACAAACTCTGTGATTGCTTGTGGTTACTGGAATCAGGCAGGTTCTTAGGAGACCAGGAGACTGCAATGTTATTCAACCAACCAGTATGAGAATGCTCATGCAACTGCAGATTAACATAAGTTTTCTGATTATACAGTAGGTTCTTGTTTCCTTCAGTCCTATCTCTAGAATTCATGCAGATTTTTCTGACTGACCACCTAGAGAGTAAATATGTGCTGTATTAAAATCTTGGTCTATCGGGATGGATGCATTGTAGGTTGAATTCCTAAATGACAAATCTGTGTGTAGAGTTGTAATGATGCTCTGTTTTCTGAGTGTGTCAAATCAGGACAAATTACTTAGAGCAGGGCAGTTACAGCCGAAAGCTGGAGTTCCTTTACTATTAAGGCACCAAACCAGCCAGACAGAGAGGACTTTGGTTTTACCCCACTGGCTAACCATAAGTCACACAAGCAATTCCCTTAGACACTCCAGTTCCCCAGTATCACCACCAATGCCACTTGTTATGGGGATGAATGGTTATGAAAACCAATACCCCAGTTAAAGAAAAAACGTTCTCCTGATCCCAAAGGACCAAGCTCCAGACCTGGGTCAATATACAAATCAGATCTTACCCACAAATCACGCAGTTGCCAATCCTTTAGAATCTAAAATCTAAAGGTTTATTCATAAAAGAAAGAAGAAATAGATGAGATCTAAAATTGGCTAAATGGAATCAATTACATACAGTATTGGCAAAGTTCTTGGTTCAGGCTTGTAGCAATGATGGAATAAATTGCAGGCTCAGATTAAGTCTCTGGAGTACAACAACGCTTCCTCAGCTCTCGTCCACTCATGCCCCTTCTCTACCTATGCTATATTGATGACATCTTCATCATCTGGACTTCAATCTCGTGTCCTTGCACCGCAGGGTGGGGGCAAGC